ACTCCTGGGAGAAAAGGATGGTGAAACTTTATCTCACATAGTTTGGGGTGTTGTCAGGAGGGGGAGTTTCTTGCTGGGAAAGGCAGAGGGTCAGAAAACAAGAAGACCTTCAGTGAGAGGAAGTGAGAAAGTGACGGCAGTGATGGGCTAGAGCCTGGCGCAGAGCGTGAGGACAGAGCAGGACAGGGGAAGGTTTCTACCCGCTATTCACAGGGTCACCATGAGCCACAGGTGACTCGGTGGCACCTAACAACAGTGTGTGTACTCTTGTTCCCTTCTCCCTGGAAGAGAATGAGCTTGTTCTTCGTAGAATCCCTCCGCCTTGTAGCCATAGTCAAGTCCCTCTTACCAGCTGAGAGACTGAACAGCCTAGTTTCTGATACTCTTTTTTTTTTAATTAATTTTAATGAAAGTTTACAGAGACTTTGGATTTCCACACATTCAGTGTTACACTTTTCTCCCTGCACACCCCTTCCCCCCTCCCCCCCCCAATTTGCTTTTCTCTTTGAAAAGTAAAAGAAAAAATTCTTTAATTGTTATTCAAACCCTTTCCCCCAGGTCCATTCCACTATGCTACCTTCATTCTGGACTCCTATCATAACAATGATATCTAATCATATATCCCTTTTAATGACTAAGGATGATAGAAGGAGAATTGATGCCTTTGAGCTGTGGTGCTGGAGAAGAGTATTGAATATACCATGGACTGCCAAGAAAACAAACAGATTGATCCTGGAAAGGGTTAAACCGGGCAGCTCCTTGGAGGCAAGGATTCTGAGGCTCCGTCTAACATACTTTGGACATGTTGTAAGGAGAGACCGGTCCTTGGAGAGGGACATCATGCTTGGGAGGGTGGAGGGACAGTGCAAGAGGGGAAAGCCCTCGATGAGGTGGATTGATTCAGTGACTGGGGTAATCGGGATGAGTGTATCAGAGACGGTGTGATTGGCACAGGACAGAGCAGAGTTTAGGGCTGTTGTACATAGGGTCACTACGAGTCACAAGCGACTCGACAGCACATAACAACAACAACAACATACCCCTTTTAAAGAGTTCCTTCCCTCATCTGATTCAATGCAGTATATATTATTTATCCCTTCTTTCTCAGTCTCCCCCCAGCCCCTATATCAGCCCTCTTTTATAACAGTGGCATTATGCTGTATCTTATTTCAGTATGGACACTCCATGCTGGCGCTCCAAAAGCCCCAGGTCTTCAGTGTCACATCTCTTCCCCACCGATGCTCACTGGGAGAGAAGGGGAAGGTGAGAGATGTTTCACGGCCTTCCATCCCCAGTAATCACAGCTGGGCAATAGAGGGAACTCGTAAGGGTGAGAATGTTCATAGTCTCAGTCTAAGCTAGAAAGCTTCTGGAACAGAGCCTTCTTTCTTGATACCCAACACTAAGCAGGCAGGGGCGCCCTTCAGGGACCCACAACCAGAGACCATGACAGTGAGGGGCAGAGAGGTCCAGCAAATACTGTAGTCCCCTCCTGAGTCAGCTCGAGCCTGAGTCCAGCACAGGAGGACAGAGCACACGGTGAGCAGGCTCTGCTTGACATCTCCCCAGCTTTCTACTGAGAACATGCAGGTCTAAGAATTCTTGTCCTCTAGGGGAAAGCCCAGGAGCTTCTCTCTGGGGATCCGTGAGCCTCGGACTCCCTCTTCTGGTGAAGAGTGGGGATGAGGCGGCCAATCCTCAGCAGAGGGCTGGGCTCTGAGACCTCTGTGCCCCTCCAGCTCCTCAGACGCCCAGGGTCTCCTTGAATAGAAAGGCATCACCAATCCAGGCCAAGTTCACTATCATGGCGTGGACTATGACTCCTGACCACCCTGCAGCGTGGCCCAGAGAGCTTCCTGGCTGTGATCTTTCTGAAAACAGTGCCACGTCCTCCTCTAGCACAACCACTGGTGGACTTGAACTTCCAACGGTACCACTCGGGCTTTTTAGTGGCTGACACAGTCACCTCATGAATCCCCAACTGTACCACCCGGGCTTCTTAGTGGCTGACACAGTCACCTCATGAATCCTCTCCCCTTCTTTGTGAGCAGATAGACAAGGGAGCCAACTGTCCCCTCTCTGGACATCACTACCTTTGAAGGTCCCATCCCAGGGAACAAGGGGGCAACCACCTTTGCGTGGCTGGAGCTGGGGGAACTTGCTCTTGTGCACACTGTCCAGGCAGGAAATACCCACGTTCCTGACTGTGGTCAAAGGCTCCCAAGGCCCCAGTCACTGCTATCAAGCTGGAAATGATTCATAGCTGACCCTCGCTTGCTGGAACTGAGGAGAGCCTGAAGCATTTGCGGCAGGAGGTCAAAGAGAGTGTAGTCTGCAATATGGATTGAAGCTCAGCATTACAAAAACAAAGATTCTCACCACTAGGCCTACTGACAGCACCATGGTAGAAGGAGAAGAGAGAGAGATTGTTAACAATTTCTGTTTATTCAGTTCCACTTCCACAATCAACACGCTTGGCGCCATCAGTCAGGAAATCCAAAGAGAAACTGCTCTGGGGAAGTCTACTATCAGAGACCTTCTCGGGGTGTTGAAGAGAAACAATGTCAGTCTAGAGACTAAGGTGCACCTAATCCAGGCTATGGTCTCCACAATCACTGTGCATCAGAGAACTGGATAACGGCCAACCATGACAGAAGTAGAATTGATGCCTTTGATTTGTGGTGCTGGAGAAGAATGTTGAACTACTCACCATGGACTGCCAAGAAAACAAACAGATCTGGCCTGGAGAGGGTGAAATCAAACTTGGAGGCAAAGATTTTGAAGCTCCCTCTCATATACTTTGGGCATGTTGAGAGGGACATCATTATTGGAAGGGTAGAGAAACAGCACAGGAGAGAAAGACCCTTCATAAGATGAATTGACACAGTAACAGTTGTAATGAGGGTAGAAGTAGCAGAGGCAGTGAGCTTGGCTCAGGATAGAGCGGGGTTCAGAGCTTTTGTGCACAGGGTCTCTATGAGTTAGAGTTGATTCAGTAGCACATAACGACAACATAGTTGACCTGCATTGGGTTTCTGCAGCTGTAAATCCCATGGAAGGAGATGGCTCACCTTTCGGCCTGGGAACTGGTGGTGACTGCAAACCACCAGAGAGGTGCCACTTCTGAGTTAGGTGCACTTTGGAGCACAGCCCTCCAGCCTACACCACCTCTTCTGACCCCAGAGTCTGAGAATAAAAGCAGGTAGGTGTCAGATCCTACCAAAAACAATCTCCATGTTCAATGCAATGCAATCCCAATACAGATTCTAAATTCCTTTTTCAAGGAGATCGAAAAGGCAATTGTCAAATTTATTTGGAGAGGAAAGAGACCTCAAATAAGCAAAGCACTTCTGAAATACAAAAATGAAGTGGAAGGCATAGCACTCCCTGACCTCAAAACTCACAACACAGCGCTAGTAACCAAAACAGCATGGTTCTGGTACAACGACAGGCACATAGACTAATGGATCAGAACAGAGAGCCCAGAAATAGACCCATCTATCTATGATCAACTGACACTCGACAAGGAAAGAAAACCTATCAAATGAGGAAATAGCAAGCTCTTCAACAAATGATGCCGGCAAAACTGGACTGCTACCAGCAGAAAGCTGAAACAGGGTTCTCATCTCACACCAGACACACACATCAACTCAAGGTGGATCAGAGACCTGGGTGTAAAGCCCAAAACCATAAAGTTCACAAGAGACAAACTGGGACCAAGTTTAGAAGGCCTAGCCTGTGGCATAAAGAGGCTGAAAAATGCAATAATACAGTCAGAAATGCACAACCTGGAGAGGATAAATCCCTGTGTATAACAAATACACAGAAAACCTACTGACTGGGAACAAACATTTGGCAATACCATCTCAGACAAAGGTCGCATAACAAAATTTTACAGAATACTGCAGGCCCTCCAGAAGAAAAAGACTGATATTCCAATTACAAAATGGGCAAAAGACTTGGAAAGACTTTTCACAAAGGGAGACATTTGAATGACCAGTAGACACATGAAGAAATGCTCAAAATCACTGGCAGTAAGAGAGATGCAAATCAAAACCACAGTGAGGTACCATCTCACCCCTGTAGCAGTGGATGTGCCTCTGCCCAGAAGCCCTCTTAAAAAATCTAAACACTACGTGTGGCCTAGAGGTAGGAAGCTGCGCTGCCAACCAGAAGCCTCTTGGTTTGAATCCACCAGCTGATTCTTAGAATAAAGATGGACAATCAACTCCCATGCGATTCACTGCCTCTGAAAGCCTGCTGGAGAGTCAGCTTGGGGTCAGTTCCGACTCAAGGCACACAACTACAGCAATAATTGCCGCAGTAACCTCTCATGGGGCTTCTGCGTCTGGACACCTGCACAGGAGGAGAGGGCCCATCTCTCCCTGAAGGAGCAGCTGGGGATTTGAACTGCTACCTGGTCAGCAGTCGGATACATTAGGTACTACACCACCAGGAGGAGTGGGGTACCACCAGGAGGAGTGCGGTACCACCAGGAGGAGTAGGGTGGCTTAACTCCGCTCTCCTCCTAGCTGTGTGCCATGTCCCAGCCTCCCCTCCAACCCTTCTTCCCATGAGAGATCATGTTGGATCAGCCCCCTGGGAACCCAGGTGAGACCAGCATGAAGTCATAGCCATCTAGGCACAGAGGGAGCTACTGGTCGTGACCCTGTGTCTCTTGATCCAGAAAACCAAAGAAAGGACTCAGCAAAACCCAAACACACTGTGTGCTGATTAGAGAAGCTCTGACAAGTTAACCTTTAATCGGTGTTAAGGCAGCAAGGAGGGTCTTCTGGCACGCAGGAGGGAGGGGCGGTCAGGAGGAGGGGAAGAAGGTGGCCCCAGGGCCCAGCCAGAGAACCCCTCCCATCGCCCACCCCGTTCTGTCCTTGGGCCCCCAGATCTGATCCTAATTCACTCTGGCTTGCATGCCTGAGCTCCCTCCAGCCTCCAGGGAGCAGGTTGCCACTGGAACGTCTGCTGGCCCCGGTGGCCACAGATCAGCCTGCCTTCCCCGCGGCCTGGCTCTCCCAGGGACAGATGACTTCCTTGTCCCGGTCACCTCCTTCGCCCACTGTGCCATCCTCCTCCGAGTCCATCAGGCAGGTCCCGCTCCCCGTGGGCACGTCCATTTTGATCTGGAAAAAGCTTCCGGACAAGAAGAAAAGAGTGTGGAGCAGGAGGGACGATGCATCCCTGGGTTCCCCTGATGTCCCTGGAGAAGAGCAACATCGCACAATTGCACGTGCACCTACGGAAATGTGTGTGCGGCCATCAGCCTGGTGGTCCCCTATGGGGGTGGGGGCAGTACTGAAATGTGTGTGTGGCCAT